CCCTTCTTTGTTCTGGGCACCATGACTATATTAATGAAGCCTAACATTTCATTATGTGTATGCACTGAAACCTGGCATAGCTAGTTCATGCTGAACTTAATAGCAAATTAAAACCAATCTCCTTCACATATGATAGTTATGCTATATAATCACTTGCCCTTGGTTAGTGAATTTTTGAAAAAACATAAGAATTAATACTTGATCATATTCAATTTAATGCTGCTAGATTTGGCTATTTTTCACAACCTTAAGGATATTTTGAATTTTGCTAATATTCTGCCTTCTACTTCTATATTATCTGCAATGGTATAATCATGCTATTTAATACTGTCATGCTAGTCATTAAAAAATAACTTCAGTGAGACAGAGTTGAATTTAAAAAACCATCTAGATTGATTAGCATGTTTTTAACAGCTGGTTTAAGTTACTAACCTATCTACTGTCCAGACATTACCATCTAGCTCTTGTTACCCCATTTTATTCCCAAGAACATTTGAGAAACTGTCAAAGGCTTTGTTGAGGTACATGCTGTTTATTGCCTCCTGAGATTTCTGGGAAAAAGCTCAACAAAAAGTAGATATCCCCCAGAGTCGATGAAGTACAAGTAACCCATGAGATTCTCAATTTGGAGATTCACCATATATATTAAGCCACTGTGAACAGATGTATTGAAAGAGAGCTTTAAATATTAGCCAGAGCTCACAAATCAGAAAAGCAAAACTCTAAATTTCAATTGGTTTGTGACAGAGCTGATTCTTACATGTGCATTTTTATGTAACCTGCTCCAGAAGATTAGTAAAGATGTGTTTTTATTGAGTAAGAACTAATGTGTCTCCCGAACAACACCCAGGGGATTAGACGGTATATAACTAATAAAATCTCCAGGACAGACTAATAAAAAATGAGTACAGTTTAAAACACTTGGGGAGAGGCAGTATAATGTCCTGGCTAATAACAAAATTTGGAATCTCAGAATTTGCTTCAAGACTTGACAGCCAATAACACCATGACCTTGCAGAAGTTACTTAACTCTATTCACCTTATTTCCTTATCTATAATCTAGGGAAGATAATAATGTTCTCTTACAAAGCTGTTATTAAAATTGAATATTACAGTGGATGTTAGTGATTTTTGCTCTCCTAATCTAAGAGAAATTAATTTAGATAAGACTGACATGTAAAGGTACAAGATCCCAAAGATGAATGCAACTGCACTGTACACCTAAAACGTACCAATAAACTCAATGAGAAAAAAAAAGACTGACAATTATGTGAAATCCATGGTAGGGTGGAACAATAAACTTTCAGTTCATCAGCCATCCTTCAATGAATGAATTACATAATTTTTCTTAATATTAGCTTATGGTTGCTAATCTACAAATTAGGCCAAGAAGTTTTAAAGTTGTATTTTGAAAGTGCTAGAATCCCAGTTTGTTCTTCATTACCTCAATGTAACTAGTTATATGCTTTGATTCATACCCATTTAATGAATAATATTGTATGCTGGGACAAATAATTGATTTTTAGTTTGATTTCCCAAAATTTTGAGTTTGTTGGTTTTACCAAGGCTTTTTAATAAATCAACAAAGTAAATCCTAGGTAAATATGTACATCACCTGATAAAGCTTTGTCTTTGGTGTGGTTTCAGACTGATGTCTTCCAAATGGTGTTTTTCCTTTTTATTTTTATAGTGTTGCTTTCTCTCAAGACTAACAGCATACTTGGAAGCTGATACCCTGAGAACAGGTTCTTAATTCTTTCCCTTCCACTCACACATCAACAGACGTGAACACTGAGGAATAAAAACTGAGCAAAACTTACAAGAAGATCAAGGAAAGAACGCTTAAAATGCTGATGGGGCCATACTGAAGGATATCAATGACCAAAGGAAGTTCTGTAATATACTGACTAATCAAGAAAATCATGGTAGAAACCCACTAATACATTCAGGTTTAAAAGAATAAAGACTGAGGATTGGGGTATGAAGCAGAAAAGACTGGGTATGAAACTCTTAAAGTTGAGATGGTATTTTACAATTTATATTTTATTTATGTCTTCCAATATATCTTTAAAATAAATATCAAACTTACCAGAATTTAATTTTTTAAAAATTTAACAAATTAAGCTATATAATGAATTATTTCTGTCAGATCTATCTTGTTTTTTGGCTAGAGTTCAGAATTATTTGAGGAGAATATAAAACAAAAATCTGAATTTGAGTCCTTTCAGGAATGTAAGATACCAGCCAAATGCTTCTTCTAACACAAGCTTGATCTTTGGGCTAGATGCTGGCAGTAATTTTTCCATTTGGTACAATTTTGACACAGTATCATAGAGTTTAAAGCAGCCTTCCCTCTCTCAAAGAGCAAGATTAGTCACACACAAATACACATTGTCTCCTAATCACAGTTTTTCAGCAAACATTGGGGTCTCAACTTGATGCAAGAGCAGCCTGTAATGCACCAGAAAGGCTCGTTTCAATGTTACATACCTGTCCTCTACTGCTACTCCCTATCTACCAGAAGTGAAAGTATATATGATACCAGCATACTCCTGAAGTAAAGACCAAAGGAGCAAATGAAGAAAGTTGTCTTGGTAGAGAAGTTCTCCCGCTTAGGTTACCTCTGGCCTTAACTCCCTCCTACGATGCTATCCTACTGATTCACAAAGCCTGTAATATAAAATTTCACCACATAAAAAGTTCAAGGAGAAAATGACAAACCAGTAAACAATAAAAGGATACAAGAACCACTTCACTCTTATTGGATGTGGACGGATACCAAGTCAGGATATACTTTCTTGATTCAATAATGAATAAAAGAATAAATTGTTGATCAATAGTAGACGAAGAAAACTCAAAACAAAAATAGAACCTGTGAAAAGAACCTGTAATATAATAGGAGAAAATTAGATCAGGTAAGATGTGAAAAACTAAAGTAATGAAAAAGAGGAAAAAATAAAGTTATTTGAAAAATTAATGAACTAGAAAGCAGAATAGTATACTTAATAACTTAGATCTTTTCAGAAAGAAAACAAAATATATTAAAAACAGATAAACACTTAGCAAAGTCAATTTAAGGAATTATCTGCTCTTTGAATGTTTGAAAGAAATTTGTCTGCTGAATTGTCTGAGCCTAGGCTCTGACAATATCAAGTTTCTCCTATGGCCAATCATTTATTGCTACTTTTATACCTTCAGTTTTAGCATTTATTTCTGTATAAAATCACCCATGCTGTTAACATTCTTAAATTTATTATTGCCAACTGTGATCATCTCAAACATACATTATATAGCAAAGAAATAATAAATCATAATTTCCTAAGTTGTTCTGAGGAAAACCAAAAGGCCAAATGTTATTAGGTATGTTTAAAATAAGCTACAGATTTTTTAAAAATACTAGCCAAGATTTATTGCAAGATCAACTCCAAGAGAGACTAAAGCATACAGCATTTTGCAAACTTACCTTCCTGTCTGCAGAAAACACACTCTGTTTAAAATGAGAAATAATACAATAATGCCACAGCTACCTTTCTTAGCACTGCTGTAGAATGTTCAGTCCATGTGGTCAGAAACTGCTATAAATTCTAAAGAGAATATATAATTATTACTTATTGATATGAATGCTTACCAGGAAAAATTCAAAAGAATCAATTAAATCTATCCACAATTAATAAATTTTGGTAAACTGCTAATCTGAAATGATCTATGAAGATAAATTCTTCTATATAGCAAAAATGACAATGGCCCACACTAGGAGCTGCCATTATCAGTATCAGTGTTTATTGTATGTCTATTACCTAGCAACACATTAATCATACAAGATATGATTTAAATAAAATACTCTTTTAAGTATATAAAATAAAGCAACATACCATGTTTCTAGAAAGTAATGCAATTCTGAATTACTCATCATTATATCAATTTAAAACAATCCAGCCAAATTCCCAATTTATTTTTCTGGGGAAACATTTTAAGTGTAATGTTCTTATGGTAAAATAAACATATTAGAATCACTAGGAAAAAATTAGTAAAAATTAACATAATAATATCAATAGGACTCACTCTAACAGATAGGAAGCCATTATTCCTTTTTTTTTAGGTTTTGGTACCGGGGATTGAACGCAGGACTTTGCACTTGCGAGGCAGGTGCAGTGCCACTGAGCTAAATCCCTGGCCCAAGAAGCCATATTTCTAACTCTACAACAGAAGGCTGATATACTAGGGCTACAATATTCAGCGGGACTAAAGAGAATCCAAACACAGAACAAGGTATGGTTGTGTACATTTCAAATATAGGGAGGAGAAAAATACCAGCAAAAAACTGACTAAGCCTATGCAGAAAATAATTTAGAATACCTATATCTATACATCAAAATAATTTCAGATAGGGCAAATTTTTAAAAATAAAACCATAAAAGGAAAAATAGGATATGATTTATATAATCTCAGGGTATGATAGCCCATCTAAACATGATCCTAGGACCAGAAGGCAAAAAATGAAAGATTTATTCATTTTAAAATTTTTTATTTTTTTAGTCATTTTAATGCATTTTTCCCTGTGCACAAAGAAATAACTGAGAAAATCAAAAGATACACTTTTCTTTATACATAGCAGTTAAAAGTAATGCAAACATCACATGACACTTTCATTAAAAGTTACATTTCCAATTACAAATCAAAATGCATATTAGGGTTTCTTTATGAGAAGCTGAGAAGGAATTCTTAGGTAAAATGCATTTTCTTGGCATTACTACACAGATCCTTCAGGCTGCACAAAGATTAAGGTCATATACAGTCAACCTGCAAATTTTGACACAATGTTACACTGTAAGATTTCTGTACAATTAAATGTATACTTAGAGATACCAGGATAAACATTTCTACTATATTTTAACTTAACTTGCCTAGCCAACATTTTCACTGAGTAATTTATCAAATATGCTGTAAGATTCTACAAAATTGTGAAGACACACCTAGCTCCAGAAATATTTCTTGCATTCTGTCTTATTTTGGTTATACATATTCTGCTCAGAGATTCTACTGCAATACTTCTAGATGTACAGTTCCAATTGTGCTTACTGTACTGTGTACAAATATAGCAAAAACAATCAATGACTGGTACAAATCTTACAGCATTTTGCTAGTTAAAATACATGCCAAAATCACAATAAGCAATATTGTACCACAAATTAGAGTTTCAAATTATTTGCTTCTGTTTTTAATATCTTCATTCTACATTAAATTACTATCATAGGCTAATGTTTAAAATGCAAAGAAATTGGACATCTGTAGCACAAAATTTGTTCACCCAACTGTGAAGGCTGATACCTGTATCCAAAAGTCACAACAAATGCTGAATAAAGAGAAGTGTTTGCATGCAACACCTTTGAGTGAAACAGCATTGATTTCCACCATTCAAAACAGAGAAGGAAACCAAAATATGCAAAGGTAGTAAAGAAAACAGAAAAGAAACAAAGGGGGAGGAGAAATGTAGGTGGAGAAGGGGAAGGGCAGGTGGAAGAGTGGAGGGAGGGGCAGAAAAGGGGTAGAAAAGAAGGAAAGGAGGGACTCCAATTTAAAATGCATCATTATTAGATTTACAACTAGACAGACTTAAAATAATTAAAATGAAAGTAAAGTACAATTTTGTGTGTGTTTAAAGATTTAAGAGCCATTATCAAAAATAAGATACATTTTTTTCAAGGTAAAGAAATGTAATTACGAAGGCTGGGAGCCTAGCAGCCTCTCAATGGCTGCATTGATGTCGCCTCCTGTTGCTATTAGGGCCTGCAAGTTTGCTTCACGGTTTAAGAACCCCATGGCGTTGAGCTGTTCCAGTTGCTGCTGAAATCTGACTTCTGGATTCGGCAGCTGTGGAGGATTTGCTCCAGCCAGAGCCTGCACCATCTGCTGAATGAATTGTTGGTTGGGTCCAGATTCTGATGTTGGACTTGTAGTTTCACTGGGTGAAGAGCTGGACACAGTGGGTACAGTAGGGCCACCAGAGCCAGTAGAACCAGTGGGGCCCGCAGGGCCAGTGGGTCCTATGGGCCCAATAGGGCCTATGGGGGTAAAAGGGACTATAGGGCCTATGGGGCCTATGGGAGTGACTGGGCCTACAGGGCCTATGGCGGTTCCCAGCACCCCCACACCCACACCTGGAGTAAAGCTTGGAATCAGGCCAGGTGCTTCAGTGGCTAGTGTCTGTAGCCCCTGCTGTATTTGCATTAAAGCCTGCATTGCTCTTGGGTTTGACATGGCTGATATTGTGTCTGGATTCTGCATCTGCTGCAAGAAAGCTGGGAGCTGTGGACGCATCTGCTCCTGCAGCTGAGGATTTGCAGTGAACAGTGGGCTACTCAGCATCATCTGTGCAGCCAAATCTGGGTTCTGGCTCAGAGACTGCATCATGCTCCTCATGTACGGTGCAGACAGCATATTCTGAATCAGCTGGGGGTTTTCAGTTATCTGTTGCAGCAAGCTCTGCATTCCTGGGGTGCTGAAAATGCTAGCCACATAATTAGCTGCAGCCACAGTATTCCCAGTAGTATTACTGGAGTTGCTGCCAGATCCACTGCCACTGCTTGTGGTGGTGCTGGTGGTGGCAGAACTCTGGGTAGCTGGCGGTGGTGCCCATGGATTGGGCAGTGGATCCCGATTTTCTGTGCGGGAAGGCTGAGTACCTTCCCCAGCAGAGGAACTGCTTCCCACTGAGGCAAATGGATTACCCCCAAACTGCTCTTGTGCAGCATTCAGCATGGGTTCCTGAATGTCAGTATACATGCGCCTTAGAGCATTGTAGCCACCTGGGATGCTTTCGAGATTGCTGAGAGCCAGGTCTTGATTTCTCATCATCTCTTGCATCATGGCTGGATTCCTGGCGATTTCGAGAGTCTGCCTCATTATATCTGGGTTGTTAAGCAAGTGGCTGATTTCTGGGTTTCTCTGAATCAATTGTTGCATTTGTGGATTGGCCATAATGAGCTGCCTCATCAGATCTGGATTTGAAAGCATGCTCTGAACAAAGGGATTTTCCATGATTTGGATCATCATCTCAGGGCTGGCCATGAGCTGCTGCTGCATCTGATTCTGGAGCTCAGAGAAACTGGTAGAGCTCAAACCCAAGCTGCTAAGGCCTGCAAGTCCTCCCAGGCTCCCCAACCCAAAGGGGTTGCTATTTGTGGAAATAGGTGTGGAGTTACTCCTGGGAGTCGACGCTGTGGTTGTATTAGTTCCCGCGGCATTACTAGGCTGTGTGGTAGACTGGCCCTGAGGTCTGTTCTGGCTTTTGATGACAAGGTGAACAGTCAGTCCATCATGGATGCCATGCTGGAGCAAGGTATCTTGATCTTTTAAGATCTTTCCGGCAAAAATCAGCACTAGCTGATCGGTTTGGGATTTGAAGCGTTTGGAAATCGCTTCCTTAAACTGCTGGACCGAACTGTTCTCCGGCACCGCGAACTCCTCTTTCTCTTTGGGGGTCTTCACAGTGACTTTGATGATTTTGGGCTCAGCCGGGGCAGCGGCCGAACCTTGGGCCGCAGCAGAGCCGCGGGAGGGGCGCGGG